GTGGTTTGAAGGGAAATGGTGCTGGATCCACACAGCCACTGGCATTTTCCACAACTGGGAATCATCTGCATTCGCCACTCAATATTCCCTGCTGAGGCAGGGCAGGGTGAGAGCAGGTCACACGGAAAATCTGTCACAGCACAGCCCTGCAGCAGCCAGGTTCGGGGTGGCAATGGGGACAGGGGTGTCAGACCAGCTGCATGTTGGGAGATGGAGTCATTGCAGCCCTGACACCTCATTTCCACCCAAAAAACCCCTGGAGGGCCAAATTCCAGGGGGGAGATGGGCAGGCAGAGGCTAAGCAGGAGGGGACGTAACTGTGCTCCCAGGCTTCCCGGCACATCCAGCCCACCCTGAATTGAGGGCAGAGCAGAAATCCAGGAGCCTCCTGCAGCGGAGGGCAGGCTGCCAGGGCCAGAGGGAAGGGCAGGAGCCTCCCCCCGGGGTTTGCAGGGACACTGAGGAGCCGTGGGGAGCAGCCAGGGCAGCGGGAGCCCTGCACCAGCCAAGGATGACGAGCACAGCACGTAGGCAGAGCTGTGCTCCTGCCCTGGGATTCACAGCCCAACTTCCCAGGAGTTGTGTCAGAGTGTCCTCAAGGCCGTGGCGATTGCTCCACCAGCCGCACGGCCAACGAGCCCTGACGACAAACCACGATGATGCCGTTTATCACCCTCATCCCAGAAGAGCTGGGGGGTCCAGCAGCTCCCCTGCTCCCCGACATGGACGGGTCAGGAGCCTGGGAGAGGACTTGCCCTCAGAACATCATGCACAGGGGATGATGGACAAGTCTCCCGGGCCCTGGCTGTCGAGAGAAGTCTGGGACATCATAAATCACACAACTGCAGCTGGATTTAACGCAGAAGGAAACAACTGAGGTCACTGGAGGAGTTAAAGGCATCAGAAAATACCCCCCAAGTGACGAGGGTCAAACTGTGTCCCTTCCCACCGAGGTCAGGCAAACAGGCTTGTTGGACATTCCCTGATGAGTGTTCCTTCCAGGCAGCACGGCTTGGACACTGGACAGGGACAGTGGGGACAGGGGACAGGGACAGTGCAGTGCCAGGGCCTGGCTCGTGTCCCATCTCAGGGCCATTGTCCCGCCCGGGGTGGCTCTGCACTGAGCTCTCCTCACCCTTTCCTTTGCTTCCTGCCCTCGCTGCGGCTGCACGAAGGTTCCCCAAACCCCGTGCCCTTGGGAAGCATTGCTGGGAGCAGGATCACCATTTCAGAGGCCCAGTGGAGCGGGAATGTGAGGGATCCCAGCCCTCCTCCTGCTCGGTAGGGCTCACAATGTGCCCCGTGAACCAGAGGTAATGGAGCAGTGCCCCCAGCCACGACATACACGGCCTCAAGGGATAATTTGGTTTATTTGGTATGTCACAACAGTTTAGCTTGTATTTAACAGCTCTATAAAACCTTAGTAAATGCATTTTTATCAGTTAGAGAGCAACGCCCACCCCTGATGTCTGGGCAAAGCAGAGGCAGCACCGCCCAGGGCCCTTTCACTTGGATGTTTCCTTAAGCTGCTCTAATGCCTGCAGGGAATGTGGGGGTGAGAGGACAGCTGAGCATCCAGGATTTGGGAGTCATTTGTGTTGCACTGAGGCTGCTCCAAGGTTTTCTTTGGTCTGCCTGACCCCCACAGCAGTGCTAAAGGAAGCACTGGCCGTGACCAGAGGAAGCCAGTCAGGGCTTGGAAAAGAAATTAAGAATTTGACATTGACCTTCACAACCTGCACCAGACGGTTCTTGGTGATCATCTCAGGAAATGCCTCCTTGACAGACCTCACAAAACCAAATCTTTGGGGCAGAAACTGCCTCCAGAGGCTTCAACACACCCCAGGCTGGCCGAGGGTCAGTCTGAGCGGGAGCTGCCCACGAGCGGTGACTTTTCCAGTTGCCACCCCCTTGGATCACACAGCACCTCTGGCTGCAGCCCTGCTCCTTCCTGCTTTGCTGATTTGCCTGCAGTTCCCATCCAACAGCCCCAAAGACACGGGATACAAACATGAACAGAGCCTGCTCCCCAGGCAGGAAAGCTCCGGAGAAGGAGCCAGCAGCAGCTTCCCGGCCCAGCCCCTCCCCACGGGAAGCACAGCGGGAGCACCGAGGCTTTGGCTGCAGCCAGGGTTGTGTGGGCAGGATGGCACCGTGGGGCTGGGGCTCCAGGGAGGGTTGGAATGGCCATGGGCACCCTCACTCCTCCTGCAGCTCCTTCTTCTGCAAGGCCTGGAGTCTCCTCACCACCGTCTGCTGGATGATCTCCAGCCCCTCGGCGTCCAGCTCCTTCATGAGGAGCAGGATGGCGTTCAGGACGTTGTTCTGTGGGAATAAGGCAGACACTGCTTCGTACAAGCCAGCCAGGAAATGGACACTGGATTTTCCCTGCTCTTTCTAGGAACTCCCTCACCACCACCACCACCACCACCGGCAGCAGCTGGGAGCAGCCACCTGCAGCCACAGGAGGGAACAACCGAGCCCCGGGGGCAGACACAGGCAGAGGCTGTGGCACGTGAGGAGCCTGGAATGCAGGACCAACCCATCCTCCCAGTCCTGCTGAGCTGCCCACACACCTCTGGCTCCCAGCCACGCTCCAGCCTGGCTTCCGTAGGGAAAGGCACTTTCAGGAGCGGCCACCCTCCCTCTCCAGCATGTGTAGGATGGGGAAGGACAGGAGCCCTCTGCTCTGAGGAGTGAGGAGAGCTGGTGGAATCCCTGGAAGGGACCCTCAGAGGTCCCCAGCCCAGCCCTGCCCCCTCTGCAGGAATGCTGCCAACACCAGGCCGTGACTCTGTCAAACCACGGCTTGAAAAACTCCAGGGAGAGATTCCACAGCCTAAATAATTGTCCTTCTAGGGAGAATCTTTTCCCTCACATCCAACCTGAACCTCTCCAGCTGCAACCTGAGGCCATTTCCCCCTTCTTTAATGGTCAGAGCCTGTGGTGCTGCTCTAGGCAACCAATAGGAGAGAGAAGCAGAGTGTGGTTTAGATCGATGTGATGGCACTGAGCCCAGCAGACAGCAATTCCCAGCGGAACCACCAAGATCCATGGGATTCATCCAGGGCTACACCACAGAGGGGGCTGAGGAACCACCTAAAGTTCAAGTACAGCAGTCCCTTCCCAAGGTTTGACCCCCCTTCTTGCTAAAGAAACTCTTCCTAATACCCAGTCTGAACCTCCCTGGCACAGCTTTGGACCTTTCCCACGTGTCTTATTTCTGGATTCCAGAGAGAAGACCTCACCACCTCCCTCTCCACACTCCCTCCTCAGGAAGCTGTAGAGAGGGATGAGGTGGCCCCTCAGCCTCCTTCTCTCCAAACCAGACAATCACAGAACCCTCAGGTGCTCCTGGACACTCCTTCCAGCCCTGGCACCAGCTGTTCCCCTCTGGACACATCCAAGGGCCTTCATGTCCTCCACAGGAAAAGCAATTTGGTCTTTAAAAGACACTCACTCTCTTCTTGCGGTTGCAGTCTGTCTCTCGAGGGGAAAAGGAGGAATATTTATCCCTGGGAACAGGCTTCATATCAAGCTCCTCTTGAATTTTGCTGGAAAACAAAGGGCAAATGTTATTATGATCAGGTGGGAGAATCTTCCTCTGGCAGGCCAATCCATCATGGGCAAACATGCAAGGAGTA